TTTTGGAGAGTGTGATCTCTTCTGCCATCGTCTGTTGCGGTTGCAGCATCAGAGCAAATAATTTAAAGAAGCTTAAGAAGCTTCAGACAATTATTGAACAAGAAGTGCCGTTAGCTTAAGACTTCTCCATATTTGCTGGAAGACAGACTGCTACCAGAGAATCTTTCTGCCTACAGCTCATAACATTTATTGTGCCACTAGTAGAAAAAAATCATATGTGGTACAAAATCGGATACATATCTGATAGTTTAAAAGCGTTTGCAGTCTAAATGTTTATGTCATGTTTTACCAGACTCTCACATTATCATCCAGGCTCTCACTACTTACTCATCCAGACTCTTCTCTAGCAAAGCAGGCGCAGAGGCACATTGTAATTAGCTCTTTTTTTCACCTTTTCATGATGTGATCATAATATTTTTGGATCTTTTTGTTGAGCAGCAACACCTAATAAAATAAAGATGGTGACATATATTATGACTTCTGTAAACTCTGCCCTGCTGTGTGACGTTTAAATTGTCCTTTTGCACAAGTAGGTCACATTAGGGCCATTAAACGTTTGAACTGGAGTCTGATGGAAGCTGCATTTAAGTACAAGTCTGAACGACCATGCAAGAAAAAAAATTGGGTTCCAGCAAAAGATCTTAATTAAGCTTCAAGACCTGCAATTTGAAGGTAGCTTTAGTGATGAATGACTCCAGCAGTAAAACTTTTTGTTGGAATATTCAAACTATATCACCTGGTTCATATAGTTGGGTTCACTCATACATCATTTAGGTTTTTGTCCTTAGAACTGAATTTCAGCCACAAATATTAAAGTGAGATTAAACAAAGATACATGGTAATGTCAAGAAAAACCCTGATGAAGTAAAACACTACGTTCACACCATAAATCCCTTTGCACATGCTCTATACAAAAGAGGGACATATAAACAGTGAGTTATACTGTACCTTAAAAAACTTACACTATCCACATTTTTCCTTGGTTTATCATTTATAGACCTACCTTTTTGTAATGTCAAAATATTATGCAAAGCATTTAGAAAATGTTTATTACACTGGGCTGAAGCTCAGTTCTAATGGTTCTGCAAGTTTTATACATGCCCTTTTCCCTAAACGCCTGAATAAAACTAAACTTTCTTAGAGGTATGCAGTAAAGCTCTACAAAGGTCTAACAATGTGCATATCATATATTGGAGTCAGATATTGTTGAAGTAGTGTCAACTTAGTCTAAAATTTAGAGTTAGACTTAGGCCAGTAAGGACTAAGACCACTACTTTTAGGAGGAAAATATTCTGACAGATAGGACCATGCATTATTACTCTAGCTATGCTGTATTTATTTGATTCATTTAGTTACTGACAAGTAATATTTTAGATATTGTAGGATTTGTCTCTCTTGACTCCTACAGATATTTTGTTCCAGAATGTTTTTTTTGGCAAAACAGCTTTAATTCTCTGCAACAATTTTAAGAACTGTTATGACAAACGTATTACCTAAAACGTGAATACCTTTTTCAGATGGGATGTCTTATTCCTAACGGCAATGTTCTTTTGCACATGACTCTGAGAGAATTTGGCTTTTATTTTTCTGTAGTAGGTTTCCATATTCAGTCAAGAATTGTGTCATTGGTGTTATAAACACTCTTAGAGGAAACACACACTATATCAAACAAAATGTTGTAATGCATATAATTAAATTGAGTTCAGTCCGCAGTGCATGCAAAAGCAGGTATAGGTTGTAAAAAAATAAATGTGTGGAATAAAGAAATGGAAGAATTGAGTTTAAATCAATATTTTCATTCTACATCACTTTGAATGTTCTTTGAATAAATGTATTTTCTTCAACTAATCTTTTGATGAAAAAGTTTTTTTTTTTTTTATCCACAAAGTCAAAAGAAAGTCTTGCTGGTGATTGTTGGACATTGAATTTTAATTGTTCAGTGTAAAAATTTAAAGATTTTTTGTATCAGAAAAGACGCCAATGTGCTAAATCTCCAGTATGCAGAGATGCTACAGCTCAGTACTTACAAAACTGTCTAGTGTCAGGATTGGAGATGACCTCGGTGACATGGATTTTGAGGAGACAGCATGTCACCATTGTCAGCACTTACATAAGGCAGTGCATTAGACTAAATGGGTTGTCCTGTTTACCAAGCAGACCCAGAATCATCTGCTGCCACGACCTACATAGAATCTTCCACTTGGATGTTCAAATCTATAAATAACAGAAGTAGAGATGCAAATAGCAAATGATGTTGCGTGATAAATATCTGTCGCTGAAACTGTTTCACGTTTTAGAAATGCAGGCAGAGGATGTCTTTGTAAAGGTGATGGAAATTATTTAAATTTGCATTTATTAGAAGTTGGAATGTTTAGAGTAGAAATATATGCAAAGTGAAAAAAAATCAAGTGTAATAGAAGTAAAGGATAAAGTCCACATTGACTTTTATTAAAGCATTTAAATATACATTTAAATGAAAAGGATATTGCACCTTTAATCATGGTAGAACTTGTAAAGTGTGGATTTCCAGAACATGAAAATTTATGCAGTAATATTACTTCCTAAAACAAGTACATTTTAATGTAATTGTTTTAATTAAAAGTAAAATTTATTTAACATGGGTTTTAAAAGCACACTGAAAGTAACAAATTATTATACACCTCAAATTATTTTTTTAAAAGGAAAGGTGGGAATGTGTGCTTAGCTCAATATAGTTGTGAAAACCTTGATGTGCTTAAAATTGGTACTAAAAATATGCAAGAATAATGAGTTATTCTGCTTCTCACACAGCCCTACTTTAAAATACACTCATAACTCATATTTGCTGTGAAAGACGAAAATAGTTGCTGATACTGTCAATATGTAATAACAGAGTTTGCATTTAAATACACATATTGGCAGACTGCTGCACCCTAAATGCATTATGGAACATTATCACAGATCCTTCCTGCCAGCAGCTGTAAGACTTTATAACAATCCCTCTTCCAAACAACCTCAATAAGTGCACAGTTTCTTTCTTATTCAGTTAAATAACATGCTGCTGTCTTTTTGCACATCTCTGACGTTGCTGCTATTTTCAGATATCCATTACTGTCCACAGCTGTATTTTGTTTATTTATTCTCCCAGTGCATATTATTTATATTGTTAAAACACTTGACACTAAAATATTTTATTTGTTAATTTGTATTTTACCTCTTCACTATTATTTTATTTTTATACACTCTTCTAAGGTCCACATTTGTGTGACATTTTTTTTCTATAATCTTTTTGCAGCTGTAACCAGATTTTTCCCATTGTGGGACAATAAAGGGATTTTCTATTCTATTCTATTCTATTCTAGAGTTTATGTTTATTCAAGTTTGCTTTTAACTCATAAATGTCTTTTCTAATCAGTTCTTTGGCTATTTTAGGACAATTTTAAATGTTTCCCTTATTTTGTATTTAAACAGTTGTTTGATAAACCGAATAATAATGTAATTGCAAAACATGTTTGAGAGATTTTATTATTTTGCAGAATTAAAGGTTAATTTAGCCTGCTTCCTGTTTATCTAGAACTGTTCTTTTAGCCCATGGCGTGTTTGGTGTCTGTTTAGTCCAGTTAACAATTATTTGATTGAGAAATAAGTTGACACTTAGTTCAATGATTAATTAATCACAATTACTCTGATTAATTGTTTTAGTATTTTTTTCTAAATCTAGAAAATGGTAACATTACCGTTTTCTTTTGACTGTTAGTTTTTTTCCAGTTTTAACCTTTTAATAGGCATTGTGAATTTGAACTTTTTCTATCCCCTTTGTTAAAATGCCTAATTTATCACCACCAGTATTGCGGTATTTTTTAAGGAATCATCTGAAAACTTTTTCTCTATTTATTTTTCACATTTCAATTGGAAACAATTCCAAGTCCCACATCTATACCTGTCACTATGCTCCTGCTGTTTTATATAGAAGAATTTCAGTTCTATTAGATTGGCCGTGTCCGAACGTCCGCCCTAACCCTCTAAATCCCTCAATAACTATATAGAGTTGGGACTATATAGTTAACTTTTTGGTGAACTCAGTTAATTGACAGTTTGGACAGATGATCAGTCATTTTCGCTCTACCTCCCCTCACGGTTCCTGCGCCATCTTTGTTATTAGTCGTAGCTGTCAAATGGCGACAGAGAGCCGTTGTGACAACAAATCCCATATTGCTTTGCAAGGAGAGCACTCACGGAGATTTTCGGGATATATCTGCTGGTCACACTCAGTGTGTGAGTGTGTACGTGAATGGGTAAATGACTGAATGTAGTGTAAAGCGCTTTGGTCAAGGCTCCTGACTTGAAAAAGGGCTATATAAGTACAGGCCATTTACCATAGTGACCATGGATGATCACTTTTGAAGGTGCAATATGGAAAATTTCGACTTTTTCATCCACTAGACATTCGGACACTCATCTAAAATTGTGTATCTAAAATTAGGCTGACATTCAGACATGGCCATTGTTGGGGTTCCTTTATTCACATCTACTTTTAATGACTCCACAAATTTCCACTGTGCTCACATTTTGTTTTGTTTTTTCTATCAATTTAAATTAACTTCTGGGCTGACTGTTATTATCAGAAAATACATTTTTACTGACCTTCAGCTTCCAATCAAGCTACTGAAAATAATGGGTCAACACTCTCGGAAATGTAGAAATATTCATTATTTCACCCACCAAATAATCAAAGGAATAATGTCTCACTTCAATCTCTAGCTTCAGCTAACAGATTCATATGCTAAAGGTCAGCTGAATTTCATTTCTGTTTAAACAGGTTTACTAACTGTTACTTTCTTTGTTCCCAAGAAGATTTAATGTTAGATCTGTTTTTTTTTTTTTTTTATCATTAAGTTGATCACTTTTGGAATCGCAGAAATAGTTGCTTTCAAAAGATAAGGTGTTTTGCCAGCTCTTTTCTAAAAGCTAAATATTTTAATTGGTTAACTCTGACAGCATCACTATTTTTTCCCTGGCAGTGAAAGCTGACAACAAGGAGAAGCTAGACATTAACTCCAGCAAGACGGACAAGATCAACAACTTGGACAAGAAGGAAGAGCAGCTAAAGAAGGACAACAACACCGACAAGAATCAAAAGCAGGAGATGATCCTCAAAAATGAGGAAAAGATTGATAAGCTGAACGACAAGGCTAATGAGAAGCCAGAGAAGGTGGATAAGCCAGAGAAGACCAACAAGGACGAAAAGAAGGAAGAGGAGAAGAAGCCGGCTGAGAAGAAGGAGGAGAAGGGAGGAAAAGGCACAGCCAAGTCTCCCACAGGGAACGGCAGCAAAACCGTTCCAAGCACAGACAGCAAGAGCAAGGTGAGTGTCTTTACACACCAGCGCAAAGTGCCCCTCACACACACTTCCTGCAAGAGAACTCAAACAGTCAGGATGGCAGATGATCCAGTGGTTCTAGAAGGGCTCTTATCACTCCACAGTGACTGCATCGATAATCTCGCTCCGTCTTATTTTTTTGATCATGCTGATATTTAATGTGGGTGTTTGCTGGATGTGCTGTAGTGCATGTGAGTCACACCTCGGGCCCTTTTCCATATCATCTGCTGTCTGTGGGTTGCTGCTCAGTTCCTTTCTCTGACAATTTTGTAATTTATTACTCATTAGCTCTCCAAGGTCGGTCTGTAATTAATATTTTATAACCTTTTTTATGATTGCTTTATGGATGCTTGCTGTGCTGCCATATTCTTCTCACGGCTGGGATTTCACCACTGCTTTTTTTTCTCTTTATCCCCTCCCTGATTTCTTTTTTCCTTTTCCTTTCCCTGTTATAATTTGCTGGTGTTTCTTTATGGGTTTTCTGTATATTTTGCAACTACGTTTTTGTTTTTTTGGGGGGATTTTCATTCATAACCCAGCTTGATCCGGGTTCAACCAAACAAAATTCAACCAAATCACGTCCATCTACCCTCTCCACCAATGATGTGGCCAACTCGGCCAAACGCCCGTCTCCTACTACAGCCAATAAAAAAAGCCCCATGCCCAAGGCGACCACACCCACAGCAGCAAAACGTCAGCCAACCACAGGCTCAACCAAGGCTGCCAAGGTGAGTTTAAATCTGTTGTGTTATATGTGATTAGCAGCAACGTAATTAAAAATAAAGGCCAACAGCTTGAAAATGAGGGAGCCAAACAAAATGTTGAATTAATGTAAATAGATCCTCATGTTTTAGCCTGGGTGAACAATTTACATAGAGAGGCGGGACTATATATCACAATAACAAAGCAAGTTTTATCCAGTTAAACTTTGCAAAGAGTTTGACATCAGTAACTTTTTCTTACCACTTACAGAAGCTTGTAAAATGTGTTTACCTTTGCCACACAGATCTCCTGTCTAATAAAACTTTAAAAGATGTTCTGGTCCTTCGGGATACCAGACATCATGGACCTTCCCTCCGTCCCAAATCTCATTTTAAATCTCACAATATTAAAACCTTCCCTCACACCCAGCACCCCCTGCTTTTCTTCTTGAATTTCAGGTGTATGTCTTAACCTTTTATTAGGTTTTATCCTTTGCTTTTCTCATTTCTGCCTAATTAAAATTTTATTGGCTTTTTGTTCACACGGCACTGGCAGCACACATACAGAAAAGCAGAAATATACATCAACGTTCATACTGTGACACAATGAAGGATTAATACCTGCAGAGGCCCTGAGCACAGAAGCTTAAAGGCCACTGATACTGAGGAGCCCAGTTGGAAATATATGCAAATACCAAGCCTTTATTAGATTTAACTGATAAGGGAAAATCCAATACAGTAGAAGATATTCATAAAGCCTTTACTGTAGAGTAGACCACCTAAAACAGTATTCATGTGCGGAATTATGGAAGAACTTTGACCTTTACTTAGCTGCTTTATACATATATATATATATATATATATATATATATATATATATATATATATATGTATATATATATATATATATATATATATATATATATATATATATATATATATATATATATATATATATATATTAGGGGTGGAACGGTTCACAAAATCCACGGTTCACGGTTTCGCGGTCATGGTTTTCGGTTCGGTATATGTTGATTGTTAGCCTGACATGTTGGTCATGTTGCTGTTAGCATAAACAAAACATGTTGCCCAATGCTTGCACACTGTTGCACTTTTATCCACAACTTTTTTTCCGCCGTCATCGTACAGTAGGTCACTCTAAATGCAAAGCGGTCCCATACAGCAGACCTATAAAGTGCTGCTGGCGCGTCTTCCAACTCCTGTTCTTTCCCACTCGCCATACCCACACAATTCTCCACAACAACTGATTTTTTTCTGCTACACCCGGCTATGCAGCTTCGCTTCTTCTTCTTCTTGTTTACTACTGGTGGTTGGCTTTGGTCGCAGTACCGCCACCTTTTGCTCTAGAGTGTACACGCTTCGCCTATGAGAAAAAGTAGCAGCGAACGCAACACACGCGAATCGAACCGAATGGTTTGGATGGTTTTCATAAACCGTTCCATCCCTAATATATATATATATATATATATATATATATATATATATATATATATATATATATATATATATATATATATATATATATGGTCTCTTACCATGAAGCTAAGAGATAAGTGACTGCCAGGTTGTTGAGCACTTTGTGTAGACTAAAACAAGATGAGTGACGACTGGGCAAAAATAAAAACTCAGTAAAACAGCATTACCTTTTGGTGGGATATGTTCAATGAAGAACTAAGTAAACCATATCTTTATGATACTGTTAGCAAGAACATTTTTGGTGCTCTCTGTCATTTTGCCCCTATATTACGGTATGGTGCACCCTCTGGGCAGGGAGGAGCTAAGCTCTGAGTATCACCAACCACATAGAGAGATGGTTTGTGATGTCACACCATATTCAAACTAAAAAGCTGTAGCTATTCACATCACTATTTCCCAGTTTGCTCTATATAAAATTAGGAATTATTGCATCTTGAAGGCCACTGCTAAAACATATAGCTGTCTCTGTGTGTTCCCTTTGCTGAAACTGTTTGCCTCTTCCATCATTTAACTTGACCAAATGTCTTCATGTTGGCTTTAAATGCAACCATATGAACTGATGACTTGGTGGACTTCCAAGTCTGCATGGTGTCTGTTTTTAGGCAGCTGCAGGCAGTGAGTCTCCACATTGAATTGTGTGTTAAACATCTGATACACAGACATTTTTCAGATTTAACAAAAATGACGTCAAATTTTTGCCACAGCCAAGTTTTTTGTGCCATTCTGATTCTAAAAATGCTAAAAATGTTTACAGGTTACAAAAGTCAACCACACCCACTTACATTAAACCATACACAATTAATGTCAATATGACAAACAACATAAGTGTGGCTAACTGATTTGTTCACATTGCCTCTGTTTTAAAAAGTTTTAGAAGAGTTTATGCTCACATTTTCCTTGTGGTGGTTCCAGGTAATTTGTTTGCAGACTCACAGCTAAGTTATCTCTCCTCTGCTCTGAATTTCAGACTCCAGAAAATGGGGCAGAGAAACGCTCACCTGTTCCAAAAACCACAGCCCCTCCTCGTCAGGCTCCCAACAAGAATGGCACCTCTGCAGCGACGGCTAATAAAACTGCCGGTATACACAGATTACCCACTTGTGCATTATTGTTTTATTAAGAAAAAGGTTGTCTCTGAGAGTCTCTATGAAACTGGGCCAATGAGTCACACTGGCACCTCTAAGGCAAAGGCTCACTGAATTGTTATCATATGTTGCACTTTACATTCAACTGTTAGCTTTCATAGACACCACACTAGTATTTTTATCTGCACATCACAAACAGTGTCTCACCTCTCTAAGAAAGGATGCTGTGAATCATCCAGGGACATATTGTGTCAAACTTGCATCTTTTCTTGTCTCCTCAGCCAACAAAAATGAGAAGACTGATAATAAGACAGGGGAGACCAAGAAACCCAAAACTACAGGTAAGAACAGTAACATTATTAAGGTCTACGTATATAAGATTTATTCATATAAAAATAATGATAAAAGCATTACCATCTTATTTTCCTCTTTGTTATACAGTAAAGTTTATATAAAACATAAATACTTTTTTTTTCATTTATTCATAACCCTCTAAAATTACATTTCCTGTTTTACAGTTAAATTGTTACAACTTATTGTAATTGTGATTTATTTCCTCTACAGCACGTCCTCGCCCAACATCCACAGCCACTCCGGCTACCCCGTCTGCCTCCACCAATGGTGAAGGTGCATCCACCCATCGCCGCCGTGTCATCACAAAACCCCCTGTGCCCAAGCAGACCCCCCTGGAGAAGAAGCCCGCAGCTCCTCGCCCTCCCCGAACCCCCCGACCCATCAATGCTCCTACGCCAGACCTAAAGAATGTGCGCTCCAAAATTGGATCCATCGACAACATCAAGTACCAGCCGGGCGGAGGGAAGGTAAGGGGATTAAAATGGAGTCTTCACCTGAGAGGTCAATAAATAATTCAGAACAGAGATGTTCCTGTCAGGATTCCTGAAAGGCAGAACAAACGAGCTGGTGGATTTGTTATTCAAACAGTTGGCAAGTGCTGCATTATAAGAACTATTTTTATTCTAAAGGCCTTTTCTACTTGATGATTATATTGTGGTTATATCACAAAGCAGTTAACAATTATCTGGTAAAGAAAGCCCAGCCAAATGCATATGGTCTTTAAGTTTGCATGAGAGTGAACAAGCTCAAAATAACTGTGAAGATGAATATACTCAGTTAATGGTATTGTGGAGGATTTTTGTGATTTTTAAAAAAAAAGATTCGCCCCTCCACAGAAAAAAAAGGGAAAAAAAGGACAATCCTGTACCCGTTCCCAATGGGGAACGTCTATTAGACACGTGCAAAAGCATGCACGAGCCCTTTTTTCCTCCTGCACCCTCTGTTTAAAAGTTGGTGTTCTCATAGCTCAAGCTTACTGTGCACGAACATCCGCCCTAACCCTTAAATCCCTCAATCACTATATAGAGCAGGGACTATATAGCAAACTCAGTAAATTTACCGTTCAAAAGATGATCACTTCCCTGTTGGTCGCGGTACTCCAGCTCCACTGTGTGGTGCCTGCACCATCTTTGCTATTAGTCGCCGCTGTCGGGTAGCGACAGCTGTCCACTGTGACAGCAATTCCCATAATGCTTTGTGAAGAGAGCTCTCCACGCAAAGCATTCCAGGATATATCCGCCTCTTCTGTGGCCTTTCTTTTCTTTTCATACACTTTTTAGATACCTTTTCTCTTACAACCCTCTGCCATTTTCAAAGAACCTCGGTGAGAAACGTGAGCTTCAATTACTATCTGAAACCATAGCTCACCACAGATATATGCCTGAAAGTGCGCATGCGCAGAAAAAGATGGCTAACGGGTCAAGCACATAGGACGGCCTTACGTAAACATATCACCATAATGACTGACAGTTAGGAGGACCATTTATTTAGATGATCCAACCAGAAATAAAAGATCATCCTCTAACCCTTTTAATTCAATTTGTAATAGGAAAATAAAATTATAAAGGCTTTAATTTGAAAATATGCATTCAATGTGACACAAAAACTTCCATTTAGAAAGGAATCACGGCTGCCAGTCTTTTATTCCTAACAATCTCTATTAGATAAGTACAACCTAATAATTTAATTAATTCATACTGAACTTTTGAGGTTCCCCAGTTTGTCAAGAAAAGTTTGATGTGTATGTATATGGCTTCCTGCTTACCCCATTAGGTATGATTCTGCAAAGGAATAACATTAAAACAGTTAAAAGCTCAAAAAAGTGGATTTTGCATGATACAAGATTTCTAAGAAATTATTCAGAAGCTAATAACTGCAAATAACAGTGCAATAACAGTGAAAAATGTTTCTAAGAAAACATTATTTTAAATTCACAATTTGTAATTAGCTGCAAAACTTGGGAAGAAAACCAAGTCCAGGAGGTATAGAGTCACGGAGAAAATAATGAGAGCTGGAGTTTAAATGCTGGCCTAAAGGGACACCGGTTATCTGGTCCTAATCAGACCTCTTTTGTAATGTTCATGCTTTTCTCAGCTGGATTACACTTAAATTTGGTTCACCTCTGCTTTTTTCCATTGCTCAATTGAGCAGAAGGTTTATATAACAATAGAAGCAGCTCAGGCATTTATGAACGAGAACTTGATATATTATAAGTGGTTACGTTAAAATATGTAAAGAAAATGTTCTAATAAAATTAAAATATACTTTAAATGTTATGACAAGAATTGTGTAAACCGTTAGTCAGTTGGGATTTTGAACTTAACTTTTATTGTACCTTATAGTTCCATGTGATGTTCTGATTAAAAAATGCAGTGAGCATTATTTCTTTTTGGAATAATTTTAAAAACTGCAAGGTTTACTGAAGTACTGTATGTGTCATGGAGCATTGATTGTAATTGTTCTCATAATGAGGAGATAAGCAGCTATAAATCTCTCCGATAACATCTTTCTCTTTCCTGGCATTGATCCTACGCCATCCTTTTATTCCATCATCTTTCCTCTGGCTTCCTCTGTCTGTCAGTTCCATTCAGCATGCTCTATTATCAGTATTTATCCCTATCTTATTTTTTTTTTATTTAATATTGTTTCTCTGTTCCTGCAGAGAGTCTCCTTCTCTATAGCATACATGGACAGATAACAGCAAAAAATGTATACATGCACATGAGTGACATCTCGTCATGTGTCAGTGACCCGAATAGGTTCCCCATCTCTGTTTGCTCAGAGTTTGTGACTCCCTGTCTTGAGGATTGAATGGTGTTGTCACTTTGAATCACGGGCATGATCCTCTAATCTGCTTGCCTTGCCTTGTGATAGTCTGTCAGTGCAGCTCGTCATTGCTTTTCCATCTTTTCAAAGTTTTGTTTCACAGAAGCTGTTTTTTTGTTTGTTTTTCATATAGTTACGTTCAGAAGTTAAGTCACTCATGATGAATTTGAGCTCTTTGTACTAAATTTCAACTATTCTGTTTTTAAGGGTGGGATTATGGTTCAACCACCGATCGATCGATCGATCGATCGATCTATCTATCTATCTATCTATCTATCTATCTATTTATCTATCTATCTCTTTTAATTTATTTATTGACTTACTTATTAATTAGAATATACTATTATTCTTGGGCCAGGCTTTTAGATTTAATCCAAAAGCTAAAACAACACAGCCATTACAGAGGCCTGAAATTAGCCTTCTCCAAACACATTTTTATATTTGTGATCACTCTCATAATTAAACACCCAATTGTTTCTGAATATCAACAATCTTGCTACAGACTTATTACCTTGCAAGCAAGATGAATCATCATGAGATTTATTAATTAACAAACTCTCGAAAATACATTTTGCCTGAAGCCAATAGACGCATAATCTTATTTTTGTTATTTTTGGAGAATAAAATCTTTATGACTCTCTTTGAATTCAAAAGTTTATATACAATTGATTAGTTTTCCTTTAAACAAATTGAAAGAGCCTAGATATATAGTTTTTAAGTAATTATACTACACTGGAAAAAAGACCAATAAATGTTTGACCAGCATAGAAATTTTAGAAAGACCAACAGAGACATCATCTTCATTCAATTTATCTAGAAGAACAGCATTTCCACATCTGTGCTAGTATCACTCAGCGTTATATTTACCATATTGACCTCTTGTTTATTTACAGTTCTATAGTAATACTACTACACTGGAAAAAGTAAAATAAAAGTTCTTCAAGCTGTATTTTTATGGCCTGGATTTCCAGGGTAGATGCATAATTATGTTTTGCAGGAGTGCAAATGTTCCCTTTATCATCTGTCTTTTCTGTTGGTTTCCATAATTTCACTGCTGCTCTGAATTACAATTGCAAAGGCTCTGTGTCTACTCTTTGATTTTATACCTATTGTTTATTTGTTTTAAGTATTATCTATGCTTTTTATATGTTTATAATGTTTTTTTTTTATCTAAATAATGGCATGGGACTGGGAGTGTGTTATTATCAGCTCTGCAGTCCTTCTACATCTGATTTATAATTGATCTTTGCTATTTTGCGCAGCTTTCTATAGTTCTTTTGCATCACTACTCACACAAATGAAACATTTCGGCATTTATGTTTGATTACAACCCAAAACCTCACAGTATTTAAGTTTTATTTTATATACCAAAAAAAAAAGGAATTATCGAATAAGAAGTAGAAGGATTTCTTTTTTCAAATAAGAAAATTATTGAAACCCATGAGGGACATGGAGAAAAACAATAAGTATCTTGACTTTCATGAGATAACTCACAATCTTTGTTACAGTTAAAGTGGGTCAATTATTAAAAAGCGCCACAGCAATGCAGAGCGCCCATCTGTGACTTATAGACTTAGAGATTTATAGACTTTTATTTTGAGTTTACTCTAAGGAATGAACGTATCAATTCACTGCTTGGCAGAAGAAATGGTTTTCATAACTGTAGTGGATTGTTGTTACAGTAGCATAGACTCTCCATCCATTATACTAAGTTTGAGAAGGAGGCAAAAACTTCACTCGGTGTGGAAAGTTGCAACTCAAAAGAATTGATTTTGATTGTACAAAGAATTAAAACTGGTGGCTGAATACATGAGCAATATGTTTTTGTAGAAACCCAATAAAATGCAGTTTGCAAATGAAGAACAGGAAAAGGCATTTGAATTCAGTCATATTTTAGAACTAATTACTGCTATTCATTGTGATCATTTTTAAAGTGCTCTATCTGTTTCACCTTCTTAGACTATAAACTGCTGTCCTGATCCATGTAATGCATTGTACCCAGCTTTTTGAAAGTTGTCATACATCCAGACCATCAGTCTGTAGACTAGATTAATGTGTTTTTTTTCCCACCCAGTCTTTTGCGTTTATTGACTGTAACAACCCACACATTTATGTGATTTATCCAGCCTCTCTCCTTTTGACCCCCCTCATGCTCCCACACTAACTCCTGCTTTTCCATGTCGTTCTGCTTTGGCGTGTGGTTGGTCGAGGTTTTTATTGACTAAGGGCCTGGTTGTCTCCCCAGGTCTCCTCCACCCTGAACAGCAAGACATCAGACTCCTCCACCCCTGCCGCCAAGGCCAGAGTGAGTCTCTGCCACCTGAAACACCTCTACATTCTCCAACAGATCTGTATTTTCCACATTATCCACATCCATCCAACACACAACATGCCTCCCTGTTCACGTGAAGATTACAAAAATATGTTGCCTTCAATACATTGCCCACATTTTATAGTATTTGCAACTTTAACTGGCTTTTTTAAAGTACTGTAATAATTTCTAGCAATTCATCAAAAAACCTTAACTTTGTAGTAAAAGTAGCATTTTTTTGTCAAGGGAAAATATTGCATGTGTATCAGCCTCTGCTATATTTTCACTTCACGAGAAGTGAAGTACTGAGAGAAAGCATACAGGGAAGCCCAACCAATAAATATCTTTGCATCTTACAACCGCCTACATACATGGCTTCACCCTAATTATTAGTGCCCTTTACAAATTCTGTATCAGATCCAATTCACAACATTGGTTTCAGAGCATAAATTACAACCAATAAAGATATTGTCACTGATTATTGAGAGGAACATATTCAGCAATATTCTTAACATTATTGTTTTTTTTAAAAACAATAAAACATAGCTATAAAACATAGCTATTTTTATTTATTCTTTTATATTCTTTTACTATATTTTGAAACTGTGTCTCGTTTCCTTTTGGAAACAAACTGGGTTATCTATATCTGCGAGCAGCTTGAACAATTTTGTATATATCTGTATATTAGTGATGTGCTAATGGTTTATAACCTCAAAATCTAGTTGATATAAAAAATATAGATAGGATGTGAACTCTCCCTGTTTTTTAATGCATCCTCCCTGCTGCTGTTGTCACCATACAGTTGATACTGTTGATTTCAGTGCACCAAACCAGTTCCATAAATCCTCCAAGTAAGCAGATAACATTACTTCCACCTCCATATCCCTTCATCCATCTAAAGTACATATGGATCCATGTTGTTTGATGTTATATATTTTATGAAATGGAGTCATTTAAAGTGTTGGCTCTGTTCTACTGCTGTCTCAGACTTGGCCCACAGTGACCTCTGACTTTGGTGTAGCCATGGATAAATCTCTTCTCTCTCCTTTCTTTATTTTTCTGCACATCAAACCTAAGAACCAAGCAAAGTAAAAAATGAGCTTCTAAGTTGCACAAAAGCTGCAGTACAACTGTCAGCAAGCTGACAACGAGAGACTGTTTTGCTTCTTTAATGTCAGTGTTTCTTCTTAACTTTTTATTTCATCTCCCAGTTACAGTGACGATGCAGACTGCTAACTGACTCAGAAAAAAGAAGATGTTTTTATAGTGGATAAATCCTTTCAAAAGTATTTATATCCCTTGACTTCCCACATTTAATAACAATGCCGGGATTTTATCTATTTCACTGGAATTTGATGTGATGGAGCAAAATAAAATAATTGCTTTTGCAAATTTTTGAAAAAAGAAAATCTGAAAATTGGGTTTTTATGCATTCCCCCAGCCTTAGTCAGTACTTTCTAAAATTAGATTTTGCAGTACTTTGTTAGGTGACTCTAAAAGCCTAATAAATTATTAACAGATATTTGTGTCCAGTTTTTTTGCAGAATATCTTTAGCTCAGTCAGTTTGAGTTAAGAGCTTGTGTTAACATCAGTTCTCAAGTTTGAGAAAAAAATCTTAATGGGATTTAAGTGTGAGCATTGGTGGGGCCATTCTAAAAAAAAAATATATATATATACACATTTTAGCTCTGAGTAAATGCACTACTTAAAGGTATTTACTTATTTTCTTCCAAGATGGGCCTGTTTTTGGCTTCAGCCATTTTTACATCTACTTTGACTGGTTTCGCACATCTTTTTGTTATTACTTAAGTTATGCATTAGGAAAGCTGATCATTGATAGGAAACAATGAAAAAAATGTTTGTCTCTGTTTTTGTGTGTGTGCTGAGATGCTGAAAAAACTGCTATTTTGCCCTTTCTATTTAAATGCAAAACATTAACAGTTTTCTTTAATCAATGAAAATAAAAGGACGTTTTACTTTATTGACAAATGTTTTTTAAGCATGTGGGGTGTTACGAAAGATGATGCGGTGTAGATTTATGAAATGAAAGCAATGACCTTGACTGGTTCCAATGGTTGGAATCATCCAGATGGCAGAGGCTTCCCCACTGGGCTTCTGCCTCAAAAGTTTTTAGGTAATAGGTCCTGAATTTTCACACAAACAGGGAGCATCCTCCTTTATATCCTCTGCCTGTATCTCCTCCACATAGATGGATTATGTTGCATATTGTTGCTACCCTTGGGATGGGTACAATAAATCAAATCTGCTCTCTAAAACCTTAGTACATGTAAAATCCGTTTTTAAACAGGGCGATTACTTTGCACCTGTTATCCACACAAACATAGTAAAAAATCAGATATATGCCCCATTAATTGTGTATGCAACTTTTTGTGTGCATAAGTAAGTTAGTGCCCCTTATTTGAGATTTTAGTTGAAAAGGGCCTGATATTATGCATATACAGGTGCTGGTCATAAAATTAGAATATCATGAAAAAGTAGATTGATTTCAGTAATTCCATTTAAAAAGTGAAACTTGTATATTATATTCATACATTACATACAAACTCATATATTTCAGATGTTTATTTTGTTTAATTTTGATGATTACAAATGACAACAAATGAAAATCTCAAATTCATCATATCAGAAAATTAGAATATTACTGAAGACCAATAAAAACAAAGGATTTATAGAAATGTTGGCCAACTGAAAAGTATGAACATGAAAAGTATGAGCATGTACAGCACTCAGTATTTAGTTGGGCCTCCTTTGGCCTGTATTACTGCAGCAATGCGGCGTGGCATGGAGTCGATCAGTCTGTGGCACTGCTCAGGTGTTATGATAGCCCAGGTTGCACTAATAGTGGCTTTTAGCTCTTCTGAATTGTTGGGTCTGGTGTATTGCATCTTCTTCTTCACAATACCCCATAGATTTTCTATGGGGTTAAGGTCAGGAGAGTTTGCTGGCCAATTAAGAACAGGGATACCATGGTCCTTCAACCAGGTACTGGTAGCTTTGGCACTGTGTGCAGGTGCCAAGTCCTGTTGGAAAATGAAATCTGCATCTCCAAAAAGTTGGTCAGCTGCAGGAAGCATGAAGTGCTCTAAAACTTCCTGGTATGTGGCTGCGTTGACCCTGGACCTCAGAAAACACAATGGACCAACACCAGCAGATGACATGGCACCCCAAACCATCACTGACTGTGGAAACTTTACACTGGACTTCAAGCAACGTGGATGAAGTGCCTCTCTTCTTTTCCTCCAGACTCTGGGACCTTGATTTCCAAAGGAAATGCAAAATTTACTTTCACCAGAGAACATGACTTTGGACCACTCACCAGCAGTCCAGTCCTGTTTCTCTTTAGCCCAGGCAAGACGCTTCTGACGCTGTCTGTGGTTCAAGAGTGGCTTGACACAAGGAATGCGAAAGCAGAAACCCATGTCTTTCATACGTCTGTGTGTGGTGGTTCTTGAAGCACTCACTCCAGCTGCAGTCCACTCTTTGTGAATCTCCCCCACATTTTTGAATGGGTTTTGTTTCACAATCCTCTCCAGGGTGCGGTTATCTCTCTTGCTTGTACACTTTTTTCGACCACATCTTTTCCTTCCCTTCGCCTCTCTATTAATGTGCTTGGACACTGAGCTCTGTGAACAGCCAGCCTCTTTAGCGATGACCTTTTGTGTCTTGCCCTCCTTGTGCAAGGTGTCGATGGTCGTCTTTTGGACAACTGTCAAGTCAGCAGTCTTCCCCATGATTGTGTAGCCTATAGAACTAGACTGAAAGACCATTTAAAGGCTTTTGCAGGTGGTTTGAGTTAATTAGCTGATTAGAGTGTGGCACCAGGGGCCATCAATTTTGAACCTTTTCACAATATTCTAATTTTCTGATATGATGAATTTGAGATTTTCATTTGTTGTCATTTGTAATCATCAAAATTAAACAAAATAAACATCTGAAATATATGAGTTTGTATGTAATGTATGAATATAATATACAAGTTTCACTTTTTAAATGGAATTACTGAAATCAATCTACTTTTTCATGATATTCTAATTTTATGACCAGCACCTGTAGATAAAGCAGCTATGTTTAGGTCTCATCTTATCAAAGCACCTCATAAATAAGCAATGTTTTTCTTTGCAGGAAATGTTTTTTTTTTACCTCAAATTAAGTAAATCAAGAAAACAATTTCCTTATAAAATAAAGAATAACATTGTCCTATATCATCTTATTCTAGGGGCAAAGATAACCATTTCATTTCAATATCCTCTTATTTACCTGCTCATATTGAGGGCAAAATTGACTCATTTTAAGAAATGTTTACTTATTTTTAGATCGGTTCTTGCATACACGTATGTTTGCTTTGTACATATTTTGCACTGACAAAAAGGGTTGGATTCCAGGAAGTTGAAATCCATATTTTTTTTCCATATTTCTTAAAGATAAAGAACATATCCAAATAAATTCAAGATGTATACTTAAGGTATGTAAGGTAAATTTCGGATTATTCAGGATCAGAACCACTTGAAAATCCATAGATCCAGGATATTGCGTACTCCAGGGATTCAGCAGATCCCCCCCAGGATCTTCTTGCATTTAAGATTTTGAAGACCTCTCAGCATGTGTCCTCAGTTATACGCTAGTATCCTGGTCCAACATTCTCAGAAGATCCTTATTAGCATTTCCTTGCTGATTCCTATCATCTTCAGAAGATCTTTCAAGACATAACCTTGTATATGCACATATTCTGACCCTGTATTATGTATCCTATTAAGGTTGTTCCTATACATTAGAAGAAATATTCTATTGCATCTTTTGAAGATTTCTCATAATACTATTTGGCATAAAGGGCTGGGGATTTTATACTGATATTCTCTTTCTAGTTCAACATTTTAGTACATGAAATGTTGTAGATTTGTAGATTCCATTAGTGACTGTGGTCCTATTAACAGTTTATTTTGTTTAGGCGGCTGTGGGGCCATTTAATTCTGATTTATGTTAGTTTAAGACCTCATTACTCGGAATAGCTTCTTTACACATAGGTAGACTTTCTATATTAGTTTACTTGAAAAGGCAGCTGATGTTATGTTTGTTTTAGTGGTATCTCAATCAGGTACTTTTCTTCTTTTTTTGAAAACATTTGAAAATCATTTATCATTTTCCTTCCGCCTTACAGTTATGAATTATTTTATGTTGGTCTTTCATTGACATTTTACAAACGTACACAAAAATTGGAGGTTTTAATGCATGACAAAATGTAAAAGAGTCCCAGAGGCTTTTAAATATTTGCACAGCATATTACATTGCATTGGCCCTGTCCAATATTTGTATTTTAAAGCAGCTTTTCCAAAAATTGACATATTTTCATTTCAACGGAGGAAATGCTGCAGAACATTACCAATAACTTAAGTGGGCCTATAAGATTAAAAGCTACCAATATCACACTAACTTTGTGGTTGCTTGAAATCAATTAAGTAATACGTGATATAAAAGAGGTAAAAAAAGACACAAATATAGATATATGTATTTATACACAGCTGCTCTTTTATGTGTTTCTGTGTAGTTGCATGTGTGCGTGTGCGTGTGTGTGTGCTAACTGTGCTTAGTGAGTCATCCATTGCCTGTGCCACCTGCGTCATCATGCTGGGTTTTTTTTCAGGCGAAGGAGACTTAGACACAAAGAGACTGGAGGAGGCCTTCTTACGACTGATGCTGGGCTTTTTTTAATTCCACACTACAACCAAAGAGGCTAGCTGAAACGTGTAGAATATGTAGTCGAGATCCATGTGAAATACCTGTCTCTACCAGATTAACACTGAGTTTCCTTAGTTTAATAAAAGAGAAACTGTAGTCTAAAATATTAGTAATAATCATCTTTATTTTGTCATTGCAGCTTTGTACGCTAAAATTAAACTTGTCCTCTGTATTTAAACCATCACTTAGGAAGCAGTTGGCTGCCCCTTTTGCTCGGGGACTTTAGTCACTGTGCTTGGAACAAGTGACCCTGCAGCCTTACAAGGACGCGAGAAACTTGCTCAAACCACAAGGCCACCAATTAGCAGAGATGACTAACAATACAATTTGCTCTTAAGATCAAAGTCAGCTTAAAGGGAAACGCCGTTTATTTTTTTACATTGGCCCCTCGATTTTACGTTATTACATGATGTTCTACTCACCCATATGAGTTTTGTGTCATTTGGAGCCGTTCTGAAGATATTCCTTTAGGTTATATCCAGGTAACGTCTTCCTATGGGCAACGACTTGAAGGCACAAACTAAACTGTTCATAATTTATTCTTTATGGTACGCCAGCATTCATAACATGTAGGCGAATCACTGTCACCAGACACCCGCGATTATATTATTTATATTTATATCTTATAAAAACAAAGCAGCGTGTGTATGACATCATCCGCGCGCGCCGGCTACCGGCCTGGGCCACAGGCGGCTACGCTCTACCCCCTCTATACATTCGGCTAGCTAATCTGAATCATTCAATTCCATTTCGAGAGCGAGATCATCTGTGGTAGTAGCACTAGACATCTTCCAGGCATGCGAGTAAAACTAGCAGCAGTTCAGCGGACAGGATGAATGAATGGTAGCTGGCGCGTGCGGATGACATCATACACACTCCGCTTTGTTTTTAAAAGATATAAATAATATAACCGCGGGTGTCTGGGGGACAGTGATTCCCCTACATGTTATAAATGCTGGCGTACTATAAATGATAAATTATGAACATTTTAGTTTGTGCCTTCAAGTCGTTGCCCGTAGGAAGACGTTACTTGGGTATAAACTAACAGAATATCTTCAGAACTGTTCCAAATGACACAAAAACTCATATGGGTGAGTAGAACTTGATGTAATAACCTTAAATCAAGGGCCCAATGTAAAAAAACGGCGTTTCCCTTTAAAGACGCATTATGGAGTTTTCTAATGATACTACCACCTGTGGCCAAAACAAAGAACTGCAGCAACCATCCGCTACTTATCATACTGTAGCTCAAGCTCTTATATGAAGGGGTTGTTTTTTTCACCTTACAAGGAGTTTCTATTGGTGTTTGAGTTGAGTTGGATGCCGTTCTTGTCTGAATATCATCAAAATCCATTTTGAATATTACACTTCTATTGTGTGCTAGATTCTCATTTGACATGAGCACCGTTGATGTCGCATTCAGAGATCAGCGTGGGATATTCCAACCTGAAGAACAGGAAAAATAGGCTATAGATGCATGGGTGATGAACCACTTAGTTGTTAGTCAACTGTGTTTTAGACTTAGAATTAGACTTAGATTTATTTTGTCATGTTGTATACACAAGTGTAAACAAAACGAAATTTCATTTAGAAAATTCCTTTAAAATATTTTTTTTTTTTTCTTTTAAAATAGAAATAGAAGTTTAGGTGTTTTAGGGTCAAATTAGGGCTAATGAATATCATAGCACTACAATTTGTTTGATGTTATTATTATAGTTATATAAAGGATTTACTTTAGCTTTATTATTAAGCTGCGTGCTGTCTCACCCTAGCTCCTGAATTGCTTTTCTTTCTGATATTTTGTTTGAACTCTATAGGGTTTTTTTTTTTTTTTTTTTTTTACAAACTTCTGTCGTTGATGCTGCCATTAGGGAGTAACATGTCACACAGTGGTGCAGCCAGGAAACTCACACTTAAACTACCTGGACTTCTCTTTCATGGCACCAGCATCAAATATATTTTATGGTATCTTCAGTTGGATTTTAGAGGTGAATGGTGATTGATCCAAAATATTGTCTTGCTTCTTTTTTTCACCGTTTCATCAGCATTACATTGTCACAAGTACAGAGTGACTAAATTAACTCTGCATTTAACCCATCCCCTTGGGGAGCAGTGGGCTGCCTCTGTGCGTCTTATAGGGAGCAGTGTGGGGGTCAATTTTTCTTGCTTGGGGACCCAGAGTGGCAGTCCATAAGGAGTGGGGCTTGAACCCAGAACCTCAGGATTCCAAGTGCAATTCCCTAACCACTAGGCAGCCACTCCCCAAAGCAGGGATTAGCATGAAGGGTCTTGCCTAAGGACCCTCACTGGGAGCTCATTCCCCACAGCTAGGATACAAACTCGGGCTTCCTGTTTGCAGGATGGGTGACTTACCTCTTGAGCTGGCCAGCTTGAATGTAACATTATTATGGTTAATAGGACAATGCTATTACATTTTTACTGAGTGGACAAAACTGACTATAGACAACTTTAGGCACAGCCTTTGGGTTCTGTGTCTGTCCATCCGCCCTTTTTATCCTCTCGGATCTTCTAAATTTGAACTCACAAGTACTTAAATATTTTCAGAGAAAAAACAGAATTCAATAAAAAGCCTAGATAAGTATATTACCATTTGCAGATCAAGCAATCTAGGTTCACAACGCATGCATTCCTTCTGAGAGAAAATGCAACACTTCAGTTTGATTTGTGTATTAAAAAAAAAAAGGTTCCATGTTTATTATTATATTTTATTATTATATATTATTTTATTTTGAAGGTTTCTCTCTGGTTTTCTGTCTTTTACTCTTCATAATTCAGACCTTTTACCCAAATAAAGAAGTATAGTTGGTTGTTATTAAAAAGCCCTAAAAATTAATCAACCCTATGAAGCATTTAGAAGGCCCTTTTTTCCTTGCTTTGTTTTTGTTTTGAGTGGCACCAATTAACAGTCACTGGTTATTTTTGCTGCATGTGCTTTGTCTCATTTTCACTGGTTTTCTGTGTTGTTGTAATGTTGCTAATGCATTTTATGGAAGCACTCTTGTTATTCTGCCAGAATGCACTCACCTTTTAAGAAACTTTTACAAAAAACTGTGCAATTAACAATGCTTTTCGGTACCCACAGAGCTAAACTAGAGATGAGATGAACTGAATAACAGAATCTCTTCCATAGTTTTAGTACAAGTCTACTCTGTTTTCCATCATCTAAAGCTGCCAGCTGATCCGCTCTTTTCTTTCTTTCTTTCTTTCTTTCTTTCTTTCTTTCTTTCTTTCTTTCTTTCTTTCTTTCTTTCTTTCTTTCTTTCTTTCTTTCTTTCTTTCTTTCTTTCTTTCTTTCTTTCTTTCTTTCTTTCTTTCTGTCTTTCTGTCTTTCTTTCTTTCTTGCTTTCTTGTTTTCTTTCTGTCTTTCTTTTCTGCTTTCTTTCTTTCCTGCTTTCTTTCTTTCTTTTGCTTTTGTGTGTATGTGTCTGCCTGCTTGTCTTTAGGTTCAGATAGTGCACAAAAAGCTGGACTTCAGCCACATCACCTCCCGCTGTGGCTCCAAGGACAATATCAAACATGTCCCTGGAGGTGGCAAAGTAAGTACTGCTGGAGCGAAGGGCAAGACTGGATAGGTTGGACGCATTTGCATCGCTGCTCTTTTTTTTTTTTTTTTACATACATCTTGTTTAGCCACTACATCTTGCTTTAAAAAAACAAATCAATTTACTCTAATGTAGAATTGGCATAATGTGTCCATCATTCTCACCTGGTGGGCTCTGAGTAAGAAGCTCTGTTGGAGCTTGCGTCAGAAGAGGAGGAAATTGAGCTGAGCTGTATAGCCGCCTTCTTCTATATCAAACGTTTAAATGAAACCGATCATCTTCAAAGTAGTTTGGCATTAAAGCATTGTAATTAGCACATCAGTGGCACCCACTGTTTGCACTTTTGATTGATTTTACTTTTGAGCGTCCTCCTCTCCGACTGTCCTTCCCATTTGCTTCAAGCACCCGCTGCACTATCCAATCCCTTCTCTTGCTTCTCTTAACAAAAGCTTTGCCATCTAAGATTTCTTCAATAAAAAACTAAAGTTATTAATGTATCATTATGTAATGGTTTATTTACCTACACCAAGTCAGATGAAAATTAAAGTGTTTATATACCATTTTTATTTATTTGCCTGCAGATACCATTCACCTTTTTATTTTTGATACACATGAATGCATGCATGTTGTGATCACAAGTGTCCACATCTTAAGAGTAACCCTATCTTTTATGTTACTGTAATTAAAAACCTCCAAATGCTTTATAGTAGATGTCATGTATGTGTTGCTATTTTGGTGTGTGGTAAATGAAAGCAAAACTGCATAGACAGAGGAAAATAAAACATTTTTTTTATATTTTATTCTTTGGGAATTCATGCTGGATGCCATTTTGCTGCATATTGCATTTATACTGTACGGTAAAAACGTAAACTTTTTAAGGTATTGCTTTGGATCTGGTGATTTAAATGGTAGCATTATGATCTGTTTTGTCCCCCAGGTGCAAATCTTGAATAGGAAGGTTGATGTGAGCAAGGTGACCTCAAAATGTGGCTCCAAGGACAACATCAAATACAAGCCAGGTTCAACTAAAGACAACCTCTGTTTTGCTTTTCTTACATTTAAACCATAATTCAACATTCTTTTTACAGCCTTTTTTTGTTTTTGCCCTCCAGGTGGTGGTGATGTGAAGATTGAGTCCCATAAGGTCAACATTAAGGCCAAGTCCAAGATCGGATCTTTGGACAACGTAGGGCCAGGCAGCGAACAGACAAACGGACACAAGGTCAAATTTCAATCTTATCTTTCTTTTTAAAAACAATGCAGATTATCTGGTCCTGCTGACTCACTGTGCTGGTACTGCCTTCCACCACTAGATAGTGTGAAAGTTTAAGAGTTGGCAATGAGACTAATGTTTGTCCTCCTGTCTTTCTGTGTCCCTGTGCTTATCTATATCTGCCCATAGGAGGATAAAACAGGAGAGAAGACATCTCCACCTGCAAGTGGTGCTCCACAGCAAACAACGGCACCAGCAGGCATTGCTAAGGAGAATGGCATGAAAGAGCCAACAGCTTCTCCTTTAGGGGGAGGTGGACTAAAGGAGCCCCTTAGCATAGACAAGTGCATTACCGAGACAAGTGTGTGCAAAATCCTACACCATCAAAATTAGAATTGCTTAATTGTGATTTTTAATTAATATTCCATTAGTAAAGCTAAACTTCCTTGAATACAGGGAAACATAAATAGAATGGAATATATTTAGCATTTTAAGCACATTGGATCAAAGTGGTAAATGCAAATTAATGCTGGCTGTAGGTTTCACCATTATGTGACTTAATTTGCTGAATGTAGTCACATAATTTGTAATCTTTTTCAAACTAACCCCAGTGGCGTACGTGCTCTACAACAAGCACATACATATTCTGCTTCTCTGCTTCAGTGATAAAAATAACCAACAAATGAAATAATGAGCAGAAGATGAACTTGTGTTTGTAGATAATGATTCTTTATTACTGCAGCAGGCCACCAAACTGTGAGTTCAAAGACAGCAGGAGTCTTAAACTGATGCTGATATCAGATTTAGCTAATCTGATTTATGGCTGCAGCACTAATAAGATCAAAAACAACCACTTGGTCTTTCGATTAATGTCACTGCAAAAACAGCAGCAACCTATGATCTGCAGACCATCTGGCCAGTGTTTTTTAGATCAAGAGATTTCTATCTGCATTGTTTATTGCGTTTTATTAAATCGTTGTTTTTTTTTTTCGGTTTACAGACTGAGTCCCTGTGAGCTACAGAAAGTGGTGGAACGTGCATGATGCTCACTGACCTGCCAACCTACTGACCAACGAAATAACCACCGTGCAGTCACTTCCCTCTGGTCCTGTCCTTCAAGTCACCCACTGCAGCAACAATTGCTTCTCAGTGTTCCTCTGAGGTCTGCCTACCAGCGCCCTTCTACCAATCCTTAACTTCGACCTCTCAAAGTTATCTTACCAAGTCGTCCACTTGGTGTTTGTAGACACATCTTTGTGTGGTTTCACCAGCTTGTTATCTTCTTACCACAGATATACTCAACTTTACCCCGTTAAAAAAAAAAACAGCCTAACAACACAAAGCAGAGTCACCTATTTCAAATGTTCAACCTAACATCTGATAAAAACAATTTTCTCTGCTCTTTGAAAAACATTCACACTCCAACACTCCCTTAGTATCCTGTAGTATCCTAACCATGTCAGTAAATCTGTACCTCACCTCAAGATCAGCCCATCAGATATCACTTAGTCTCATCAAGGCATTCTTATTGCCAATTAAAGACTTATTACAAATTATTTAATCACAATCATGATAATGTTAATTAAAAATTATCAGTATTATTTTTATCTCTCTATTAATATCCTTGTACTCAAAGTTGATAGACGTGGTTTCAAAGAACACCACAGAGTTGTGCTAAACTGGAACAGCTTAACGTGTTTTGCAAAAAGAATCTAATTAAGTACAAAAGCTTGTTTAGACAGAAATCGGCCGATTACTTGAACCGCCTTTCTTTATATGTAGCTTGATTGGTGAGATGAGTTGGAAACTAAAAAAAAAAGTTTTTGTTTTTTTAATGGTACCATATTAACAACTTTCCTCATAGTTGATGTTGTTATTAAGGGAAGGGGCTCAAATTTAGTCTACAAATAAAATCAGAAGAGCAAAACGGATGTGGGAAGATACATTTCAAGCAGGTCACCGTAAGTCCAAACATATTTAAGCACAGGATCTGTATTTTTTTTCTGCTTATGACTGCAGTTAGAAACATTATTAGAAAATGTTAGGACCTCAAAATAATGTCAGAAGAGCACAAATGGTTTATGTTTAGGGCTTCACTGGGTGGTCTTTAATTGGAAATTGGTCCTGCTGATGTGAATTAACACAGTTTACCTCAAAGAACACAAAAGAATAGGTACACTGGACTAATTAAAGCACTTTTTGCAGTTACACTGCAGGATTTGTTTATACATAACACCCTGGCTAAGTAGATGTCACATATAAAAACAAATTGAGGATCAAAACCTTCACCACTAACTACCCTTTGAGTGCATTAACCCTTAAATCTAAATATGTATACTTTTTGAGCTGGTATCTACATACACTGAGTATTAAATCTCTCTAAAAATAATACATATGATGAATATGAAGGAGCTCTGTATTTAAAAGTTCTTTATAGATTACACTGTTCATCTCTATTCATCACATTTCTGCACATCCACACCGTCTCCAAGGGTCCTCAGCCGTTACATAAGATGTGTCTGGCCCATGATAATAACAGACTGACAGGTAGAAGACCTATTTTTCTCATGCACCCTTTGAAACCAAAACCTCTTGGTTATTTGCATTAACCCATCTGAGGATGGAAGGCCCTTTGTATGTAGTTTCAGAAAACCACTGCTTTATCGTTTAGTAGTTCACGCTAATGTGCTACTATTGTTAATATTCTTTGTTCATAGATCATCTCATTATCTTTGCTACAGGTTTTGTACACTGGTATCCCGTGTTGTAGCATCTCTTCATCTCTTTCCTCTTCCTGTGTCTTTCTTTAGCTTTCTGACAGCAATACAGTAATATAAAGATTGAGGGCTTCTTGTCACCAGTGCATCTAAGGGACACAAAAAAACAGAAAGAGGACAGAGAACTTGATGAGGTGAACAAACGTTCAGAGATGGGGGAGAGTTAACTTGAAGTGGGAGCTAACAATCGGGGTGTCAATATTGCGTTCATGTTTAAAACATTGTGGTGTTTTAGGGGTTTACCATTACACAACAACAACAACAACAACAAAATCCTACCACTTATAGACTTAAAGGAGCAGATTGTTAGGCGTCAAGGTTTCTGCCGCTCTTTTAGGCACATCTTCTACCCTGACATTTGTATTGTAAATAGATTAGGGAAAAATGTTTTCTTTACATTTATGTGCAGCATGTTTAATTTATGTTAGATGCCATTTTAATATACTGAATGTTCTTAAATCATACCATGCTGGACAGCAGGAACTGCCCAGCTCCAGATTACCATGCCTGCTCCAGTATTATAGTTAAATGTATCCCAGAAACAAGCCAAACATTTAAGGGTTTCTTTCTAAAATAGCTCATTGCAATAAATAAAATAGGCTGGAAGATTTGTTTTTTTGTTTTTTTTTGCAGTTTTATTGACATTGTTTTGTCTCTTACCAAATTTCAGTCAGCCTTTTAGAGCTGTAGGCTTTTTTTTGTTTTTACATATTCCCTTAAACGAAAACATTATTACTCCCCTCAACACTGTGATTTGGCTTTGATTTCACAACATTGTTCAAAGATACATTATGCATCACAATTCGAACATGAGTAGGCTGTGGCCTTCCTGCTCACAGTGCTTTCAAGGTTGGGATGGTCTCTGGTCAAAAGACACTGAGGGATTTGCAACGTGTGTGTGTGGTGTACCGTAGCTGTCAGATGTGTGAAGTGTTACTACTGCATCCATCCTGTAGAGGGCGCCGCTTAGCCTCTTGAACACTGATAGTCTGGCTCTGTGACTTTACTAAAAGCTAACTGATGAACATCCCCCACCAGAGAAGCATAGTCCCCCATACTGCACCTATTTAAACTAGCTCTATATTATTGTGTCTGGAACACTAAGTATTATCAGCACTACTCGGATCATGTAAAGTTCCCTAAAGATAAAAAAGCTTTTGTGCACTTTGAACATAGTCTTGTTCATTTTTTGATGCACTCAAGTGATATAACTGTACTCAAGTTGCTTTACTGTATATTGGTTAAACCTTGTCAGCTGTGTGCTGTACATGTGTGCTTCTGGGAACCAAACCGTATTGGTAGTTTAGTAAAACCTATGGCAATCAAAGAGCAAGTGATCAAATAGTCAAGACTAAAAAGCTAAGAAACAACATATATGCGTATATTGTTATCGTATTGTCCCTTCTAAACAATTCGCATAAGTTGCCTAAAGCAACACACGGCACATGACACATGCGTGGATCATATGTGAAAATAATAATGTGAACTTTTTATTTATTTTTTTTTTGCACACAAAATAACTGTGTATAGAAGAATAGGATGTGTCTCGATGTGTCTAAGTAGCTCATTGTAAGAGTGTGCTGTTGTGTGAGGAGATGAGCTGCTGTGTGTTGGATTTTAGCCGAACTCGGGTTATTGGTGTTGTGCTTCAACGATTAAACACCCAGCGCTACAGGCTGCCATTGTGTTATTCTTGTTGACATTCTTTGGGATTTACATTCTGGCCAAGCTGCAAGGTCACATTTACTGAATGAGTACATATATTTTTATCCTCTGCCCAAGAGGCTTACAGAACTTCAAGCCACCTTCTGTCATATAATGTAGAGCAAGATAAATGAAACTAATCTATGAGCCAACAAAATTCACTTTATTAGCAGAGAACCGCAGCTATATAACACTTTATTAACCCTTGAAATCTTTTTTTTCTTTTTTATGTGTGTGGCATCACTTTGTTACATTTTCTAACATCTGTGCAAAAAAAAGTTTGTTCTTTCTCTGTCCTGCTTATAATGACAGTCGAATGGAAAAAAATTTTAGCTAAATGACGCAGTTCATTATGCAGTTTATTATGCATTTAATTTTTATACTTAGAAATGTTCCAAGTTCTAGTATACCGTAATAGAAACGTCCCTCAAAGTGAAGTTAAAATCCAAACCTGAAATAAACATGACAGTCTTAAGTTTAACGTTTAGCTAAAGCTGCAGCAAAACAAAATATACAAAAGAAAAGAAAATGATGATTACATTTTAAATCTCACACACTTTTTTATGAAATTAACATACCATACAGAATTTGAAAGTGCAAAATGTTCAGAAATGCATTGTTACTAGCTTGTATTACTTAGAGTAAATGACCTTTTGCTCTTGGAACCCAGCAGTGGTAACTGTACCTCAATAAAAAAAAAAAAGAGAAGTTTATTCGATTTAATATAGATTTCCATGCTGTTAAAGCTACAGTGTGTAATAATTACAAGGATATACAGTCAGAAATGTAATATATTATACATAACTATGTTATTTATCATCATCTACGAGCTCAGCCTCTTAACCTTAATATTTGCGTTGCCTTAGAATTCGTTATTTATAATTACATAGGAGTGGGTCTGGCAGCCATGGAGGCAGACATCTTTGCGCTACGGCAGCGCAGAGCCAACAAACTAGCGATTGCAAGATCGCCCATTACGCTCGAAAGTAACTACGGCAAGTTGAGAGAGATGAACTGAGACGGTACTGAACAATAGATGGCAGTATTAAAATTATCTATGTAAACCAACCTCATCACTTGAGAAGGTAGGTGATGCGGACGTCGTGGAAGACATTTTGTCCCATAACGCTCGCCGTACTGTTGGGGGGGAGAAGCGGTGGGGGGGAGATGTTCATGTTGCTGCGGTCTGCAGTCTGAACGTTAGATGTCGCTAAAAATTACACACTGTTGCTTTAATATAGATTATAAATTAAACTTTCAAACGGGATCTTTCAAAGCTGCATGGCTTAATTCATAAGGCTTTTTAGCAAAGGCTTTAAACAGAGTTGATCAAGACTGATATGAATTTGATCTGCTATATTTCTGAATATCTCTTTATTCTACATCCATAATCCTGAAATGAAGCAGATAAATTATTTAATATGCCAAAAAAATGCTGCCCAGGTTTAGGAATATTCACCCATCTTCACTAGAACCAAAACAAAATATTTTTTTCTATTCAAAATTAAAATATTTCCACATGATCTCCTCAATTTGCCTGTATTCTCATAGATGCTGATAGATCAGTTTTGGTTAGTTTTTATTTAGAAACAGTAATTCATGCTCTGAAATCAAGAAGGTTAATATCACGCCAACATAAAATGTATATCGTTTTTTTTATTTTATTTTCTCAAAGATTTAACTTGTACCAGACTACAAAACATTTTATTCTATACAACAGTTATAAATAATAAATTCCTAAATATCAAAACCCACCTTTTAGGTGTTCAGTAAGCATTATTAAGTATGAGAGGATGTGGGCTGAAGGTATGTTGCAGCTTGGACATAAAGTAATAGCTTGACTGACACTGATATCTGCTCACAACCATTTCCTGTAGCATTGAAAC